TCAGACTCTTACTGACTAAAAACCACCCGTTTCTACTTCTGCACTTCGAGCTGGAATCCCGGCAACCTTTTACGTTCTCTGCGGTTCCGTATCAGCATCATATTAGGCCCCATCCATGGTGGTCTAATAGTTCATTGAGGTTCGCGCAGAACGCGACGCGCCGTACGGTCGGGTCTGGACCTGGTCAGATGGCGATTTTTGATGTATGTTTAAATATAGGGTAAGAATCTATGAAACAAAATTTTTTGATTGTGTGCACACTGCACATTGATTGATTGTCAACCATTTTGATTTTTAAACGATTATAAAAGCCTAACAAAAAGTATTAGATGCCAATACTGTTAGAAAATGTTGAAGAATGCGGTCTCATTCAAATTATTTATTTATTTATTTATAATCACAACAGTGTAGGTACATATTGAGTTTATAACTTTTTCCCACAAAACCGGTTTAGCGGTTTGACTGTGGGTGGTGAGCCGTTGGCTATTGCTACGCCGTAGCAGAGCGTAGCCGCGTAGACACGATGCGTAGCGTTATGTTGCTCTAAGCTCAATTGATTTAAAGATTGTTGTCTATTATTTACAATATGTTTAGTTTTAATAATGATATATAATCCAAAAAAGAATCTGATTGAAAGAATATCAAGAAAACTAACACAAACACACACAAAGTTTCATATAAACTTGTAGAATTTTTACTCCACAAAAGTGTCAAAATAAGTTTCTGGAGCCATGTGAAGGGGATCATGGATTGGCCAGAAAGTTCAATACAATGGGCACTACCGGTCCATTGAATGATTGGAAAACTTTCCTATGTACCGAACGTTGTACTTTAATTCTTATTGATTGGAATTTTTAAATTGTTCTTGTATCGAGTAACTTCAGTTTATTTGCAGTACTTTACTATGTATTTTATAGACTTCGAATTCAAATACCCTTAGGTACATGTATAAAATGTTAGAAACAAAAATGTGTTTGGAAATTAACAAATTTTTCCAGATATTTGTTGGCTTTGATCATCATAAAAACTGTGAAACTATGAAACAGCCGAACATTTTTTTTTGTTTTCATCGACATACGTATACATACATAGTGTTCAAAATTGGAAAAAATCAGTTTCCAACTTAATACCAGCCTAAACCTGGTAGTATGCAAGTACTATGAAATCACAATTACCTGCCATAGCAATTTGAACTTTAACAGCAATATAACGCGTTCCTTCTAATCCATTTTTTGCCAAAACACTTACAAAGAAATCAGCAAACTCTTACTATTAAGGCTCACAAGTATTTCTGAGCAATTACTTCGTTTTCCTGTTTCTCCATACATTTAGAAGGAACTAACCAAATGTAGTAACGAACAGGGTAAATGTTCGTACAGTGACGTAACTAGCTCATTAGGACTATAGGGTACGTGGCTTATTTACAGACAGCACTTCCAAATATACCAAACTGTATGTTTTTTGTAAAGGGTTTTGGACTTTGTTGCTATGCTTGCTAAGCTTGAAAATCTGTTGAAAGTGTTTGATACTTCTGCATAGGTTGATATGCTGGTATCTGTAGAAAATACACGTCTCCTTGTAGAACTATGTTTTGGGAATGCTAAATATTGCAATAATGAATGACGTGTATTTCAATGTCGTTGAACAAAAGGATTTTTATTCTAGGCCTCATTTAGACTGAATATAAGGTGTAAGCCCTAAAATCTCTCATCTTCATCCTCATCTTCATGACCTATTGAATACATGATCTATGTAAGTAGCTATTGAACTATTCCTGTTACACAAATGACTAATGAATTCATTTACTAAGCAGGCATATGAATCGATAATAACGCTTCATTGTCGGCTTAATGCTTTAATTCATTACGCAGCGACCCTGTGACGTGAGATATCCAGACTAACAATCTGATTGTCTTCTATATAGCTTTCCAATGTCGTGTAAATTCCATCTTAGTATAATACCGGTTTATTTCATAAAAAAAACACATGACTTTTTCATAACTTCACGCTATTTTATCTCCGAATGGGTAAGCATAGGTGCACGTTACGGCATTTAATGCCACTGTACAATGTAACACTCATTGTTCACGGTTTTATGTTATGAGTCCATGTAATAGGGGGTGAGCCTATTGCCATATATCGGGAGCATTTCCAGACTCCGTGTCCTGAGATTTTTTCAAAAAACCCAGTAATACTTTGCTCGACCCGGGAATCGAACCCGAGACCCCTTGCTCGGCAGTCGCGACCACTCGGCCAACTAGGCAGTCTTACTATAACATTACGATTTATCCGAACGGTTTGGTAGGAGATCACATTCATCATTTTTAATCTCGGGCATTGAAAATGCAACCCTACTTTTCATCAGTTAACTTCTACTTCTTAGTCCCATTTAATAGGGGGCGAGTACCTACTGATGATGAGATGATCTATATTCATCATCCTCTTCAACAGCCTACAAGTGGCCCCTGCCGACCAAAGGCGCACGAAGAGGGTTTGAGCATTAACCACCACGCTTGCTCAATGCGGGTTGCCGATTTCGAACTTATAATTAGATATTATAAGCACAGATTTTCTCGCAATGATTTCCTTCACCGTTTCTCAGTGGTGTCTAGATAATCTTAGAAAGTACATATAACTCGGAAAAAGTCACATTAGTATTTGCCGTTGGTAGGTTTGGCACCAACGCTCTCATGCGTGAGAAGTGGGCGTCTTAAACCTCTACGATCTACCTCTATATAATATACTAGTATAATATATTAGATAATATTGAATGTAACTGTTAACTATAATGTTCCAAAAACGTGCATTTTTTGCCTAATTTGGAACCCAAAATCCTTTTCTTAACAGTCAAACTTACGACCGTATAAAACAATGAAGCTCAATTCAATCAATTCCTAACTAAACACACAATGACGTCACGAACTTACGTAGAGGACACAAAACAAACATGAGAAGTGACTCTGGAACTTGTCTAAAACAAATAAGGAGTTTGGAACTAAGACATGTAATAACAGTAAGAACCAAGTTGTAAAGAAAAATGTTGGGTTTATAGTATATTTTTAGATGGAAACAAATGTTTATTCCGAGAACTTAGAGCTCTTGTGTTTATAGGTGTATTTGAAACACATGCACATACATGATACACGTCGTACAGATCCACACATTGTCTGGGTATAATGTGTATGTAAAGTTGTATGTTTGTATATACACCCACGACAACGACGAAAATCCTAGAATGAGGCGATGATCATTAAAAAAAGATTCTGAGTAAAAAAGTATTTATAGATTGCACCAGTATTGCTTAAACTGTATGTTGAATCGGCGACGTTTTGCGCCAGCACTGCTACTGCATTAACTGCAATACACTGCATTAAAAAACTTATATGGTTTATATATTATATCTAGTCACTTATGGAGTTATTGCTCGTTCTTCTCCATAGAAATCTACTCCTTGGAATGATACGGAGCCGCGGAAGACTTAACGGATTGCCGGAGCTCCGGCTCGAAGGGCAGGAGTAGGAACAGGGTGGTTTTTAGTCAGTAAGAGTCTGACACTCCCTCCGCCTCACCCAGGCGGGAGAAACCATTCTATGATTTTCCCCCCTTAAAAAAACACCGTGGAATGAGCAAATAGCTTCACTTTAATTTTTAACTTTTTTGACTTTAAAAAAAATTAGGTTCAATATTTTCCTATTGTGAGTCAGTCAACAGTTTGTATTTTTTTTAATTATCTTTATATCACAAATTGCTTTTATTATACATGTTCTTACATAACTCTCTGGCATTTATTCATATGTTAGAAAATATGTAATTTATACTTCTGAAGGTGAAACAAAATTACTTTACATAAATAGACTTAATTGTTTTGTTTTTCATCAAACAATGTTTAAGTATGAGCTGTTGAGCCTAAGATACTTTCAAAGGCACTCAATTTAGGACGTTATTAACATTAATTTTAGAGTAATAAAAAGGGTAAAGGCATGTAACATTAGCATTACGTACTTAAAAGTGATGTAGGTTGAAGTCGGTATTGATTAGTACACCTCTAACAACTCTTTGAATAAGGTAGCATATATTGAACTTTAAATATA